TTTTTTTTTTTTTTTTTTTGCACACAATGTGAGCTCATACTTTAATTTGGCGGAAAAAGCAAAAATCCTGCCGTATTCGCTCTGTGTGAGAGATAGAGTCACTTCAGGATAGCAACTGTTGATCACTGCGAGGCTGTCTACGATTCCCTCTTTCGAGGACTGCTCATAAACGAACTGATGGCACGTTCGTTTCTCTGGCACATGCCAATACTAATTTAACATCGAAAAGAATGAACGAATGACAGTAAAACTGACTGTCCCACCGGCAGAGTCTAACCATCGACCTACTGCACGACAGCAGTGCTAGTGCAAGGGATATGAGCCCAGATTTAGGTTCATTATATCCGTTAAGAGCAGTGGTACATTGGACCTCGTATACAGTATTTTATTTACATCCGAACGTCACTGCAAAAATCGTCAAATCCAGAACATCCCGGCATTCAAGGCCTGTCCGACTCGTCTGCAGGCTTTTTCACGTTCCGCAGCTCTGTGAAAATGCACATTACGAGAGTATTAACAGACTTTTCAGCTGTGGACAGTCCCTGTCGACAGTTGCCTCGCTGATTAGTTTTGTTAGACTTTCGGTACCACATTCCCATTGTACCCCACCAGCTTCACTGTCCTCAGTGTCCTCGTCGACGTCGTCACCAATACCATATCCTGCAAGGTGAATTGAATTTTCTTCCAAAAATGCGCCACTAATAATCAAAAGCACCTCAAATTCTACGACTTTCTTGTTTTTTCTTCCGCTTTTTCCTCCTTTCCTTCCTCCTTCTCAACTCTTATCTAGGACCGCTTTGTTCCTCGTGTTGGTCCGGCAGCGCAGCTTTATCTAAATCTTAACTGTTGTGCTGCGACAGTTTCCTTGTTTTCATCTGGCAAAAAACTGCCAAAAAATAAAAACACACAAGATTTTTTGAAAAGTGATTAAGAATAGGCTAAATTACATGATTTAAGTCAAAAAATTTCAGCTGATGGATTTGTGGAAATTTTCTAAGAACAGCTATTTTAGCAACCTTATCAATTGGTATTACTGTTTTTCTTATTAAAAAAAATAAGTAGATCTGCAGTTTAACTAGCATTGCCAAACTGACCTGGAATTGTAGGCTGGGCTTTTGGAACATCTGGAGTAAGCAGCCTTGGAACAATACCTGGCGGTCCTATAGTGGAAGCACAAGCAGCGCATGTAGCTACAGCCCAAAAGAATATCAGAATTCTCATCGAAGTGAGAAGTCTCTTCCTTCTCTC